ATTTAATGCAATGTTTTTTACATAAATGAATGTCTGCAAGACAGGAAAAAAACAAAAAACAAAAAAAAGTGAAATTCTTTAAGAGTGTTAATAGCAACACTAAATACGTTTCCCCCCTCTGTCCTAACAGAGGCCAACTGATACCAAAATAAGCCGTGAAATAATAACTGACAAAAATATTATTCCTTACAAGTTCAGTAGCAACAGAGACAGGTCAACATTAGTCCATGATTTCATAGCCCCCTTCAGACCAGAACAATGTTCACTCAGGTTTTAACTCTTTGCTTTTGCTGCAAAGACATTGCTCTCTTACTTTTACTTCCAGACTTAGCCATGATGCTGACAAAAGAAAGCAACATTGTTTTTTCTTGTTCTTTTAAATTTTTAATTACAGTCGGCAAACAGAAAAAATGAGCTACTAACTTTTTTTATGAGTTACCTGATGCTTTTGTCATAATGCACGAGGGCTGTCCAGTGGCAAGTTGCTCAACTTTATGTCTCAAGAATCACTGAAACCAGTTTATCAATATGCATACAGTAGAAAGTGTGTGTACAAGCGTTAAAGGTATTGGCCAGACTTGGCATTAAAATTGTAGAAGTTCAGTGCACTTATACTTTACCATCTGTATAAATATGAGCTGGGTTCCGTCTTTCATTTTAAGGACTTTTGTGATAAATCATTACAGAAAATCAAAATCCTCTCCTCCAGACAGTGAAGAACTGTGTTTCGCATACGTTACTCCAACAGGTAAAACAAGGTAGCTGCTGTTGCTAGTTTTGTGATAAACTGTACTTTGTTTACTTCAGTTCTCTGAATTACTATGTAAATTTGTGTTTACAGCTGCAGCAAAAGGTCTGGGTCATATGTCAGTGTCCTAACCACATTTTTAAACAACACAAATCCATCTAGAACCACACCGGTACTTCTGGACTCCAGAGTCCCTTTAGCATGACTGCATCAACACTGCTAACCGTGTTCGCTCCAGTAAGGAAAAAAACAAGTCATTTGGGAAAGCTACGACACACACACACACACACACACACACACACACACACACACTCACACACAGATATGGCCTAAAAGATGATGCCCATATTTCAACAAGGACCGGTAGAACCTCTATGCTATCCTGGATTGCAAACGAGTGAAACTAAAGAGTTACTCCAGCATCAGGAAGATTTATTCTGTAAGCTATTGGTAAAATATTTTCTGGAGTTGTCAATACATACACGCAGCAGTAAAACTGGCAGAACATTATTTTATTTATCTGTGGATAACTGAATTATATTGGGAGAACATGATGGAGCTAAGACCGATAGTCAGCTGAGAGCTCCCGATGGAAGCGCTATAAACACAGAAATTAAATAATTAACAAAAGTAAACAAACTTTACAGATTTTGGTTCTGAAGACTCTGGTCTTCTGAGTCAAATGGTTCAAAACATGTCTGCACCTCCGGTAGAGATATCTAGCTAGCGGGAGTCGGAGTTTGGTTGAACTTCTCTGGTAATCCAATATCCGTTCTCTTTGCCGTATCCCAGAGAGAAAAGAAATCTGACCGACTAGCAGAGGTTCCAGAAGCTACATCTGATTGATGACACATTGTTCTCTGCTATAATACTAATGCAGAAACATTGGAGTCGGGGGTTGTTTTCCATAGCTGAATCTGCAGAACTCCTTGTGAAGCGTCACCAGCTATCCAGGGCTTGGACCAGAAGCTAGTTTCTGTTTTTGCCACGCTAGTCAAAAACATCTGGGGCTCCATTTATTAACCGTATTTACACACAGATCTGTGCAAACATCGTGCATAGAAAGTGCTTTACGCATTGTGTGGTATTCATCATTTTGTACCTGTGCGTGGAAATGTTCCTAAGCATAAGAAAACTTCAGATCATGTATAGGAATAGCATCTAGTGATAGAACAGAGGAACCACAACACCAAATGTCAGTCATCCACACATGTTCCTCATCCACAAATTATTTTACCCATTAAATAATTATTTCAATGGATAAACTGCTGAGTCACATAATTGGTGCTGCAACACCTGGCGGGAATATGACATTGTAGAATAGATTTTGTGTTTTTGTTATAAAGGATTTGTCAGAGCGTGCTCCCTGGAGTAAACACATTTATGTGAGCACACTGACAGGAGATCTTTCTGGAGCTATGTTCTGATTTAAAAACCTTTGTAACACGACAAATAAACTGCACTAATCCGATTCCAGTTCACTTTCTATTTTACAACTACGACAACCCTCAGTACCTCCTCTGCTCCCCGATCACACACGTGTTGTCAAGGTAAACAGACTGAATGACAGTTAAGAGGCTGCACTCTCGGACCACATTTACAAATAAAACTAACACCAACCAGAACGACTACTTAAACGTAAAATGTAAATGACAACCCTGTTAAATTCAGAATATATTTTAAGATCCTCCTTCTCTCATAAGCTCTTAATAATCAAGCTCCATCATACATCAGTGACCTGATTGTTCCATATGTTCCTAACAGAGGACTTCACTCTCAGACTGCAGGTTTACTGGTGGTTCCCAGAATATCTAAAAATAGGATGGGAGGCAGATCTTTTAGTTATCAGGCTCCTCTTTTTTGGAACCAGCTCTCCGCTTTAGTTTGTGAGGCAGACACCTTGTCTACTTTTAAGACTAGGCTTAAAACATTCTTATTTGATAGGGCCTATGGTTAAAATCTGATGTTAACCCAGATCTAGACAAGTGGAGGAGTAGAGGGAGGTGGAAAGTACAGTCAGTAAAGGCTCTCCCTTGCCCTGCATCCAACATGCCTCCAGCTAAAAGGCTAGGTTATCCAGAGTTATCGCTGTAGTTATGCTTCTATAGGCTTAGACTGCTGGAGGACATACTGACCACTTTCCACACTCGACTGGTTTCTTCTACAATTTGCCCTTTAGCTCCTTTATTTCCTGCTATTTCAGCTGTTAACTTTATTTTTTCCTCAAAGTGTTTTTCTCCCTAGAAGAAGTTACAATGATGTTCTGCTGAGCTGTGGTGCCCTCATGGAGGGGGCCATCAGCTTGAACACTGTCCCTAACCACTTAAACATTCTCCCTCCTGATAATAACATTTTACGTCCTTTGTCATTGAATGTGCTACTACTAGTTTACCTGTTTAATTATTGATTCACTGGAATAAATACAATAAAGTTTATCTCTCACTAAATAGAATATTTACTACGAAATCACAATATAACCATAGAAACACTACTTGGTGTGTGTGTGTGTGTGTGTGTGTGTGTGTGTGTGTGTGTGTGTGTGTGTGTGTGTGTGTGTGTGTGTGTGTGTGTGTGTGTGTGTGTTCTGTCTTCTAGATCCCCAGTGAGTCATGGCGGATAGCTGCTTATACTGAGCCTCTGGAGGCTTCTTCCTGTTAAAAGGAAGAGGACTGCAGTAGAGACACTGACACTAGTCAGTGACTTGATGCAATTTGCTGGGTTCCTTATATAGAACACTTTTTTTTGATTGGCTTAATGAACTGACCTGTACTGGAATGTTTACTGTGTGAAGTGCCTTGAGACGACTTGTCGTGATTTGGCGCCATATAAATAAACTTGAATTGAACTGAACCCGTTACTCTATGATTTATTATTTTAAAGTTTTTATTTATTCCTGACAGGAACATCTCCTCTGTCTCGACCGCTTTTATAACCTTTGGCAGTGAACGGTTGGATTTAAAATGACAACTTTTGTCGTCAATGGCAGTTTAATGAGTTAGAGCTATATTTTTATTAAAAGATAATCAAATATTTATTTTAACAAGCACAACACTGGGTTTATGTTTACATCTACCAGACAATAGAGGGCACCATTACGAGTTGCCAAACAGTCCACTCGGTACAGCAAGGCTGGCTCTGTGGAAAAATGGTGGACTTGGCAAGTCAAGCAGCTGCTTCTGAACCTAGAAGATGTCGTTATCCTTCTTAGAAGAGGAGCGACCATAAAAGATCTAAAGTGAGAGTGAGTTTAGGGTGAAGCCTACAACAGATTGACCCAATTGAAATCGAACAGGTATGCCAAGATCAGTTTAAAGAAACAAGTAGACTAAGCATGAAGGAATAATAAAGAAAACCTTTAGAGGCCATTGCCTTGAGAGCCAATGGGGTTGTGTTGTGATTAAAGGTGCTTTCATAATTCTGTGGGCTGTGTAAGTGAGCACTGTGTTGGACCTTCTCTTTTCATTAGATTTTGTATTTCATGCCCTCAGAAGCAGAACAAATAGAGTCTGTTTCCTTTTGCTCCATCCTTCATTACCCAAAAGGAAGATACATTTTCCTCTTGCAGACCACATGACATAATCTGCATTATGAACGTGTGTACTTTGTACCTACTGTCTTAAACACTGGAAACGCAAATGGTCGTAATCAACCATAGTTATACTATTCACTCTGGCTGACATTGTTAGAAAAGCTATTATTCATGTTTCTGTCAAAATATTATAATTTGGAGATGCCGTGACATCCCCAGAAGAAACTTAAAAAAATATATTACTCTGGTCAAGTTGCAAAATCTCAGATTTCCGTGTGACTATCGGGAGGGATGCATTCCTTGAGTTTTGTAAAAACTCTGTTTTAAAAATAATCAAGCTTTCAGTCACAACATTTGTAAGCTGATTCCTATTCAGCAGCAGAGTGCTTGTGCTTCTTAAAATGGTTGGATTTGTGTCTCGTTAAAATATCTAATCTTTACAGAGCAATGAGCATGCTGCCTCAAATCTTTGACCAGAGAAAATGAGAAACATCAGTCATGTTTTACTGTTTTCTGCCTGTTTGGTAGTTGCTGTGTAATAGAGAGGGCCTTCAAATCTCAGAACAAGCAGACTGATAAATAAACAATGTATTTTGTTTCCTATTATTTGGGTTAGACATTACAAAAACAAAAGTTTCCTTTGGTACGGATCAGTTTGATGGAACTTAACAGGAAGCATTCTCTCTGACGTCTAACACTGTTCATCTTTTTCCTCCTGAACAGATGTGTACCTGCTCACCCTTCCAGAAGAACAGAAAGTCAGCATCACTACAGTGACTGTTGGTCAGAGTACTGTGTTGACCTGCGCCATCACAGGAGAAAGAAGGCCTCCTATTTTATGGAAGAGAAATCATCAAAATCTGAACTCCTTAAACCTGGAAGACATTAATGTAAGATTTTTTAATTTACTTCTAAAATGTTATCTAGATATTAGTATTTATACCACATAATTCACTGTTGGGTGAAGTACAAAAACAATACGATTAATCTTATTACAGAAGCAATTGGCAGTGGGGGGATACAGTTGGTCACTAGTGAGAATTCTGTCCTTCAGTTTGATGAATTGGAAGCATAAAATGTGTGTAAATGTTTTTGAGTGATTATGGAAAAAGCCTACTTGTAATGACCAAATTGGTCTAATGATGTAAACTAGCAACAGGGTCATTGGTTACATTACTCCTCCTCTTTAAGGATAAGTCAATGGATATCGCTGGCTTCAATGAACATACTGCACCTAATCCTTGGGCAACTTTAGGGCCAGAGGGGGTTTGATGCAATTTTATGACAAGCTACAAGGATTAAGTCTAGTAAGATGTACAGTAAAAAATCTTAAAGATGGATCATCTACTTCCCAATTTATAGGACTTAAATGAGGGCTGTGAATGTAAGGCGGCTTTTGACGAGCACTTCTCAGCCTAAAAAAGCTCTACACAGCGTGGGTGACAGAAAGTGGGTGCACCCCACTAGGCGTGGGGGAGGAAGGATGGGTGGGTGTCTTTTCTCCACACAAAAGTAGCATGTGGTGATCAGTAAACAGTGAAAGTGCACGGTGATCTGTATACCACCACAATTTGTGGTGTCACTGGACATTTTGCTCAGTTGTATGGCTTTTTGTCAGACTAAACAGGAAATGGCTGCAGGCAGTGAGGCAGCAGGCATGAAACTCCAGAGCAATCAGTGACCCCACCCCCTAGCCAATCAGTGGCCATAGTCGCAATGCTGGCCCGACTCAGCCTTGCCATGAACCTCAATGGAGCAGGGACTAAAATTTGGGAAAAAGAAAAGGGAAAATACTGAACCATGCTCTTGGAAAATGTGGTTAGGCTGAGCTGCACTAATCCAAGTTACTCTGAGTAGCGACCTTCGAAAACTTAACTTTAAAAATGTTAAAAGTTACAGCGATAGATGTTACAAGACCTTGGGTCTCAACCATCTACATACAGTATATACTAGACAATTTGTGTCCATAGGCTTGATTATCGAATGTCACAGGTCCCGCCATGCCCAGACAATCCAAAAATGGGAAAAGAGATGGAGCTAAAGGTGGGGCTGTTACATTTGGAGCAAGGTTGGAACAAATGAGCCAGTGAAGCTACTAGCTAACTTAGCTAACCCAAGAAGCTAAGAAGGGCTCCTTAGACCAGGGTATCCCACCCGCATGGCAGACTGGCTCCTGTGTGAGGCTTTGGTCTTGCTGATTGCCTGTGGAGATCTAATATGGACTGGGACTGTTAAATTACAAGCGGAGCCTCAGACCACTGCGATCGTAACATTTTACATCAGCTCTTGCTCCATCGTCAGAGATAATCCTAACCCTAACCCTTTCCATCTGCCATTAGACTTGTGAACAGCTTATAAACACACAACCATGCTCGTCTTTGGTACTTGACATAACGTCACGTTATCGGCCATATTACCTTTACCTGCCATTTTTTATAGCAAAGTTTTATGCTAGTTTATTATATTTTATTCTACTTTATTCTATTTTTTAATTATATTATTCATGTTATATGTAGCACGTTAGTACCGAAGCAAGTTCCTAGTTTGTGAATTGTTTGTTCACTGACAATGGCAATAAACCTTTTCTGATTCTGATTCTGATAAGCAGGACACCAGCTACATGCTATCGCAAAGCTAACGGATTTTTCCTGGCCGTTTATAGCAAGAAAAACGCGGTAGGGTGACTCCAAAGTAAAGGCACCTCCAACCTGCTTAGTAGCAAAATTATAAGCTAAGGTACTCTGACCAAGTATATCAGGCTTCGTTGGTCCACCGTGGTGAAAGATCCGTGTGTCTGCCATTGTTGATGGTCCTTTCTCCGGGAGCTGGTGTTCTGATTATCCGTGCTTCCTCATCAAATTTTTCTACCAACGGGCATTTCAACAGCTGATTCAGTATGTCCAGGTTTACAGAAAATCGGTAGCTACTGTTAATTTATTTTTTTGAAAAAAAGTGGATAGTAAGCAGTTTAGTTATTTCGTAAAAATTAACCCTTTAGTTGCTAAAAACATTTGAATATTCTCAGAACAATGACGATTTACCAACTACTTTCACCCATGTCAAGAAAGTGATTCATAAAAATGGAGATTTGTAAGACGTTAGCTCTTACTGTTCTATTTCTCTACCTAATCCTTTATTAGACAAATTAATCCACATTGAACAAACATGCTTTCCCCCAATACTTATAGTTATTTATTTGAATGTATAATTTTAGAGATTATTATATAACTATGATAAATTTATTGTATGTATATAAAACTTTTGGACATTAATTTGGGACTCTTTCAGAATGACTGTAAACAATGGGAGAAATTTCTTGTTTACGGTATAATAACGATATTTTGGAAGCCATTTACAAGCTAACTGTCAGATAAACATACCGCAAGCAGTAATTTCATAAAACAACTTAAAGAAATACTTACTGTGACCTTCGACGAGTTTAAAGTAACTAGACAAATGACTAGATTAAACGTAAACTTCCACAGGTAGCTCATCTCGACTTGTAAACAGCCTGTGATGCCATTATCGACCTGTGCATGCGCTGCGCATGCGCATTTCCCCAAAGTAGCACATTTCGACGGGGAGCACGGATAGTCGGAATACCGGATATCAGCGAGACTAACCTGAAGCTAACAGAGATTTTCTGGGTGTTTTCAGCAAGAATAATAAAGTTGAGCTTCTCAAAAATGAAGCAGCATCAACAAAAAGAGCTGCAGTGTTTCTGTAGTCTCCCTCAGAGATCCAGCATAACTACAGCCTCGCTTTGGAGTCAGCCCAGTTGCCCAGGGAGATGGGAACAGCCAGCCGCCGGCTCTAACTGTTCCCGGGCAGGAGACGGGAGAAGCTGGATACCCGCTCAAGTTTCTTATGCAGCCCCACTAACATTTTTGACCAAGCAGTTAAATGACACAGCATTTCCCCCCATTTAACCAGCAAAATAAAGTACAGAAACATGAATTTACTTACTGATAAAAAAAAGAAGCAGAAACTGCTTGGATGGTGTGTTAGTGACCACAGCTTGCCCTTTTATCCAACTAATTTCATGATTAATATAACACGAACACAAACACACAGACAAACTAAAGTTCAGAGAGTCAAAATGGCCTAATATCTCTTAACTTCCAGCTGAGGCCTTTTTTTGGAGCTAGCTCTGAAGTCACGTGGCTCTGATGCCCATTAATTATTCAGATTTGTAACAATTTAATACACTTAAACCGAAGAGTAACCAAAAAATTCTCCCATCTCACAGTTGTCTTGAATGTAAATGAGATATATTAAACCAAAAATATGTTTTTAGTGACCAGGCTGCAAACACGTTTATTTCTGTTGTGAAATTGGCGTTTTGAACATCGGAGTCAATGAGGATTTGCTCGCTTTTGCTGCCTAGTGGATGAGGGTGGAACTGCACTTTTTTGCTACTTCCTTGTTTGCTTCATATCCAGAACTGGATTTTGGGGGCTTGGTCTCAACTAAGAACCTGATCAAATGTTAGTCATTTTGGAAGTTCATTCAGATGAAGTTGGCCATTTTATTTTTTCACCGTTACAGTCCAACTAATCCGGCTCTGGAGGGCCCTCTACTTAGGAACTGGTTCCTAAAAGGACCTGTACATGCCTATCACATACCCAGTGAATTTGGGCGCACACTTAACCTGCTGGTTATGTTGAGAATGGATGTGCGTTTTAGCTAATGTGGTTAAATGGTTATAATTAAAACACACATGCTTTCAGATGTATGATTACAGCCTCATGTGAAACTGGGAAAATGAGAATTGTGGTACAAAAGTCCATTTATGTCAGTAATCCATCTTAGACTGAGAGACCATCTAATGGCTTGGATTCAATAGCTGATTACAGCGTGACACTTTTGAGTCTAGAATATTGAACCTTTCACAATATTCTAATTATCTGAGATTGTGAATGTAGGGTTTTCATCAGCTGTAAGCCATAATCGTCACACTTATAACAAAAGGCTGAAATATCTGGCTTTGCATGTAATGAGTCAATCTCATGTATTTGTTTCACCGTTTAAGTTGAGTTACTGAAGTAAACGACCTTTTGAACCATATTTTACTCTTTCACCTGGATATTCAGTGAGTAAGTCTGAATTTGATCTAAACAGTCAATTACTGTTTAAAAGTTGGTCCATTTTTGCCAGATGGCATGTTTTATCCCATATTTCTCAGCATAGTTATTCAAGGTTTCTAGCAGTGCCTTGCTTTGTCAGCACATTTTGTTTTACTCTTGGCACTGGCTTTGTGTTGTAGGACTGACACTGATCCAGGATGTCAGACTCTGTTCTCCGTAGCTGTGTTTAAAAAATGGTAGAAGCGACGGAGACAAAGAAAGAAGATGAAAAGGGGGATACCTAAGGGGCTCAGCCCTGGAGGAAGGACCTACTTTTACATCTTGGTGTGTGACTGCGGGTTAAGCCACATGCACCACTCCAGACAGCACCTCTGTGTCACTTTCCTTCACATCAAAAGAGGCAAAGAAACTCATATGATAAGTTTCACAGGCAGGTCTACTTTGTCTAACCCTTTGTCTCTGTGTCAGGACTGACCAAAATGAGTGTGATACTTCTGTGCATAATTAAATCAACACTGTCGCAGTAGATAAAGGGAATCCAGCGAAGCCACTAATGCAACATTAAATGTTGATGACCCTTAAAATGAGTAAGAGGCACCCAGCTGTCACCAGTCATCCTTGGCACCATCGACTGCCTATAAACTAGTGTGCTGGTTCTGGTTGTTGGTGATGTGTGTTTCCCAAACAAAAGCTGTGCCAATGCTGTGCTTATCGGCCTAACAGCTTGTCTATAGTTTGGCTTATTCAGACATTTTCTGCATTATAAATTTTCTGCTTTTAAGTAATTCTTGGGCAAAAACAGC